GAACCTTCATCATATACAGACATAAATTCCCTCTTAAGAAAGCAGATATTATATGCAAAATTATTCGATTGATTCAGTTCGCTTTCTTTTGTACTTTTGGAGTAATGGTCATGAAAGCAATTTCTGCTTAACTGTCACATCTTTGAATAAATAGCTGCAAAGGTATAGTGGCAGAAAAATGTTGACTGGATCTACAGAATAGCACACCGCTATTTCTAGAGTGATAACCTGCAATATTAACCTCAAAGTCGTGTCAACCTCATGTCAAGGTCGAACTATAATAAGACCAAATAATACGTGTCGTCGGTTTGTTTTTTGAATTTCGCGCAAAGCCACACGCTAGCCGTCCCTAATTTAGCAGTGAAAGACTAGAGGAAAAGCAGTTGGTCATCACCACCCACCGCCAACTCTTGGGCTACTCTTTTACTAACGACTTGACCGTCACGTTATAACGCCCCCACGGCTGAAAGGGCGAACATGTTAGGTGGTATGGGTATTCGAACCCGCGATCCGCAGATTGCGAGTCGAGCGCCCCTAACCACCTGGCCATGCCGGGCCTATGAGTCTTATTTCTAAACTTTGACTTGAAGGTTGTAAATTGTTAAATGTGCCCTGAAGTGAATAGAGCCAAATAGAGGGGAATAAAAAAATATTAATTATATGTGGAATGTCAAAAAACATTTATTTTTACTAACTGAAGATGTCACGAGACAGTAAATGTATATTGGAAATGTTTTAATTTTTACGTGAGCGTTATTTGTTAGTATCAAGTTTTAATTCTATATATTTTACGTTTCAGACACAATGAACAACAAAATATCACTTGCTTTGGTCATCGTTGTTCTGGCCACAACTTTAGTAGAGTCATATCCTCGTCGAGGGTTTGGTGGGTTCGGAAATAGATTTGGAGGCGGAGCTGGAGGAGGTTTTGGTGGTGGTATTGGTTTTGGCCAAGGAGGAGGAGGAGGAGGCAGTGGTTACGGTGCTGGTTTTGGTGCCGGCTTCGGCGGTGGTAGCGGAGGTGGCCATGGTGCCGGGTTTGGTGCCGGGTTTGGTGGTGGTCAAGGAGGTGGACAAGGTGGTGGATTTGGAGCAGGATTCGGTGGAGGATATGGAACAGGGATTGGTCGCTAGTTTAGACAAGTGGATTTTTTTAATATCATTTATGGTAAGTTTAATTCATGTCCTCGTCACAGAGTTGGCAGGGTAATTTTAACATTATCCTGCATTAGAAATCTTATTGAAAGTGTTAACCTGTAAGGATAACGAGTTCTTCAGTGTATTGATTATGCGTGTTGATATCAGTGTTGGTATCGGTGTTGATATAAGTGTGATATCAGTGTAGCTAAAAATAAATGATATATCATAATAATAAGAAAATTAAACTAACAACCGTAAAATGTCTTTTGTTTTCAAATTTGTTACTCAGTCGTAAAATGTGCAAAACTAAAGTTTGTAATATTTCAACAGTAGTTTACGTTTCAGAGAAAAATATCAGTTAGTATATAGCTTATTGTATAACTTTCATGTTAAGAAAACAAACCAAATCTTCTCTATAATAAACTGAAATTCCGGAATCACGAAACACACAAGTCCATTTTAGTGAGTTCGTTACTCTGTTGAATTTGTCTATCTTTCACTATTACACATGTACTTTGTATCAGATAATATACTACAGTTTTGTTAATGTTATATTTGTTACCATCTTTGTAGAAGTCATCGCCTGGACGTGAAAACGAAAAGATGGACAACAGACGTCAACTTTTAATCTATAGAAACTATTTGATAAAACATTCTGTAAATTGTATTTTGTTTTTCGTGTGAAATAAATACGTGAAGAAATATATATCAAATAATACTATGTTTAATTGTTAATCCGTAATGAACTACAAGACTCTGTTTAACTGTTAATCCCTAGAGAACTACAAGACTCTGTTTAATTGTTAATCCATAATGAACTACAAGTCTCTGTTTAACTGTTAATCCCTAAAGAACTAAAAGACTCTGTTTAAATGTTAATCCCTAAAGAACTACAAGACTCTGTTTAACTGTTAATCCCAAAAGAATTACAAGACTCTGTTTCATTGTTAATCTCTAAAGAACTACAAGACTCTGTTTAAATGTTAATCCCTAAAGAACTACAAGACTCTGTTTAAATGTTAATCCCTAAAGAACTACAAAACTGTTTAAACGTTAATCCCTAAAGAACTACAAGACTCTGTTTAACTGTTAATCCCTAAAGAACTACAAGACTCTGTTAAATGTTAATCTCTAAAGAACTACAAGATTGTTTAATTGTTAATCCCAAAAGAATTACAAGACTCTGTTTCATTGTTAATCCATAATGAACTACAAGACTCTGTTTAAATGTTAATCCCTAAAGAATTACAAGACTCTGTTTAACTGTTAATCCCTAAAGAACTACAAGACTCTGTTTAAATGTTAATCCCAAAAGAACTACAAGACTCTGTTTAAATGTTAATTTTCATTGTTAATCTCTAAAGAACTACAAGACTGTTTAACTGTTAACCCCTAAAGAATTACAAGACTCTGTTTAAATGTTAATCTCTAAAGAACTACAAGACTCTGTTTTATTGTTAATCTCTAAAGAACTACAAGACTGTTTAACTGTTAATCCCTAAAGAACTACAAGACTCTGTTTAACTGTTAATCTCTAAAGAACTTGGGAACCTATATAATTTAGAAAAGTGTTTTTATATAGAATTAATTTTAGTCTATTTCAATTTTGACAAGCTTTAATTCTTAAAATTAATTACTTCCCAAAAGTACAGATGTCAAGAACAAAAAACTCATTTCTTAAATAATATTAAAGAAAAGTCTTAAGAACGAATTGAAATATGTTTGAAGAACTTCTGTGGTAAAAACAAGAAAAGTAGTTTGTTAAAATCATTTATCAAAGTTTCGTTTCTGTAGTTTCTCTTTGAGCATATTGAAAACCTAATATTTATTTTCCCAAATAATTCATGCTCTTTTCATCAGTTAATCGATAACATGAAAACTACCAGACTTTAGTGAACACTTAGAGTGTATGTGAAGTTAACGATAGAAATCAGGAGCCAAGAAGGAAAAACATGAAACAGGGTAAGGTAAACAAAATATAGTATGGATATTTGTTTGTTTGTTTGAAGATAAGCACAAAGCTACACTATGGATTATCTGTGCTTTGCTCACCACGAGTATCGAAACACGGTTTCTAGCGTTGTAAGTCCGCAGACATACCGCTGTGCCACTGGGGGGCATAGTATGAATATATATATAATAAATTTATAAATTACATCTACATATATACAAGCGCATAGTCACAATTTTAAAGCTCCAAACTCGGGGAACAGATACAACTTTGAGCGGGAGGTAATATGGGCTATGCGGCCATGGACTCAAATTGAAGAGGCCAGAATGTTTTGGTGATGTGTGACCAAGAAGGCTATTATTTTTACGTTTCTTCTCTGTGTGAGGACTTCTCCTAATTATTTTATCCATGATCAATTATGTGTTAATACGATTTAAAAATTTCTTGAAGCCTTCATTTGTGCTCTTTCCCCCCTCTCTCTTTCTTCTACACATACATGTCTACTCTCTAACTCCCATTAACTGAAGATGGCTGGTGCTTTCTCTCGAACATGCGCACTAACTCCCTTAACTAAATAGGCGTACTTCAGCCATATTTTTTACTTTGCTTGCGTGTACTCGAAAAATCAGCTATACAATGACTTTACAAAAGCGTTTGGTATCGGCAAATTTTCATTTACGTTGTGTTGCAACAAGAAGAGAATATATCAATTCTTCATTAAATGGAACGATAATAAAGTCAGAAACGACACTTGACAACACAGCAGAAATTAAGACACCAACCAGTAGAAAATGTTTTTTTTGGAAACTTGAAATGTCATGCAAAACACTTGCAAAAACCAAGAGCTTTTGCTTTGATTAAAACAGCTTCAGAAAATTTATATTTGTGTCGCACATTGTTAATTTCTTTTATTTTAATTAAAATATTTAGCTAGTTAAATAAATCAATTTGTTTACTTAAAAGAAATCACGATTACTATAGTAGATTTAATTAAATCAACTCAAGATATTTAAATACATTTTCATCCGAGCAACTCCGAGTACTCTGATAATATGGTAATAACAAAAAATAAAATATCCATTAATTTTATTCACAACTGACCAAACACAAAAATATTTTCAGCTATGTCTTTTGTCATCCAAAGTAAGTTTGAACTTACCAAAACAGAATCAACTAATAACTGAAAGAGTTAACTGGAGATATGTATTTTACCGTTATTATTTTAGACCTATTATTTTAATTGGGTTTCGATATCCATTGTGGGCACAGAACAAAAAGCCCATTGTGAGACAAAAGAAACAAACAAATAAATAACTTCTTTGGTTTATACTGATAATAAAACTGACCATTTAAATATTTATCATGAAGCTGAAGCATGATCATTAAACTGATCTACCTGACAACACCTGTCAATTATCATTAAACTAGGCACTAAATCAACAGGAAATATTAAACTAAACACTGGCCTTCTTGTGACCATCAACGTGTTGTTTGTCATATCTGTGATGGTTTGTGTAACCAGTGATTTCCGATAGTTACAAACACACATATATATATGACAGGAATTAATGAATACTGTGCTCGTTCACTGTTTCAGATTCGGACAGTCCTTTACTTACTGAAGCAGTTAGAAGGTCAATGGGGTCACTACAGGTGTAAAATCACAGCTTAGTCAAACCTTCAGTCTAATTTTAAAGATAGATCATAACCCAATCAAACATACGCATGTGTTCTGTATCTTGTTACTGACTTAAGTATTAAAATGTCTTCCTGTCTACTATGTCGCCATATAAAATGATATAAATAGTTCTATATCTGACACAACTATACTAGCCGAACAAATAAGCTTTAGATTTGAAAAAACTTAAATATTCGTATATTGAAATTATATATTTGTTACAAATATCTCTTCCAAAGAAAATAAATAAATAACGCTTTTTTCCGTCGTAAGATGGCATTTACACGATTTCACTATCAACACTATTTCCATGGTAACGATGGCTATAGAAACTAAAGTCACAGCAATGGTGGTCATCAAACTGAACACAACTGAAGATGTAAGAAACTCTTCCAAAGAAGGGAATGTGAAACATGTTGGGTCGCAATTTTTTTACTGTTTCTTTTATACGTGGTTTTGTGTACATTGTATAAGATATGTCAAATAAATTCAGTTTATGCACAGCCATCAGACAGTAGATATATAAACAGATTCATTTGTCCATTTCTAAAACCTTTTATAATTAGCAGGCAGGATTCTGCATTATTTCTCCTGAATGTTCATAAAAAGCTTCCTCACGAAGTACATGTGTTTACTCTTTGTTAATCACAAAGTTACACAATGGGCTATATATGCTGTGCCCACCACGAGTATCGACACCAGGTTTTTAGCGGTTTGAGCCCCCGGGGCTACACAGTGTGAAAGATAGAATTACACCATTATAACAACTTTCAGAACTTTTAGCAAGAAGCTTTGTAACAGATATATTATGCTATGTTTTCTGAAATGGCTTTAAACATTGTAGACTACATCACATAATTATCTGTTTTATTAACGTGGCAATCCATTGCAATTTTCATTATAGTTGGTACAAGTTGTTTCCTGGAAAATACAACTACTAGCTTCTTATCTTTGTTAACCGTCCCGTGTCTTGAAGTGATACAATAGAGGGAAGACAGATAGCCAAAACCACACATTGCCAACTCTGGAGACACACTTTACCAACGAATAATGGGGTTGAACGTTACGTTATAACGCCCTCACGACAAATGGGCGAGCATGTTTGTGGACAGGCTTCGGTTAAGAATAAATTGAGTCTAATATCCTGATGTATCCATTTCATATTATTTAGTGAAGTATCTGATATATATATATATCTAATTGATATCTATGAGTTAAGACAAATTTAAGGAAATTGTAATTAACAATTAAACAGACACTTGTTTGTTATATATCTCTTGAAGTATTTATTTCACACAAGAAAAATACGGTTTACAAAATGTTGAACAAACAGTTGCTTCAGAGTACAAGTTGTATCATATTGTC